TTCTGTTTAATAATGTATGATTACTTTGTAGGGTCTTAAGATTTCCCGGAAGAGCAAACAAAAAAATTTAAATGCCCTCGCCGGAAATCGAACTTCGAACTTCCTTATTGGCAGCCGGACGTGATTATACTTACCACACGCACGTGGAATAAAAAGAGGACATAGTAACAACTTTCCCTGGTTTATAACTTTTAACATTTTCGCATGTTTTCAAGTAAAATTTTATTCTGATTACAGTTACCACCCACATTAACATAAAGCATCCAAACAGTTCGCATATGGACTTACGTAAAATTCAGAAACAAGCTTGAAAATTAGATGGAAATAATTAAAAAATGGAATTAAATGGTTAAAATTACTCGATGCATATTCCAAGAAGGAACTCGATGCATATCCCAAGCGTTTCATTAGAGCACAGACAAATACTTAGACTGCACATCAGCAAGGAAATCAGAGAAATGGTCGATAGAATCTTTCTTTTCCAGTAATCGCAAATGCTTAGTTGGTTCTCAATGTCACATGGTAAGAAAAGGGACGTGAGTAAATCAGAAAAAACTTTAGCTATAGTTTCAAAATTGTTGGCATTTGTTCATTTTTCGAAAGAAAGGCTGGTAATACCTTTATTTATTTATTTATTTTAAAAGAACTTAGTGCTTATGCAAACAGACGTGCAACTGTGAAAGAAATATTTGACATATGCTTGACTTTATTATCCATTCTATGCATTTTGAATGGCTTTTCAAAATGCTGATAAAGATAGTCAATGAACTGATTAGATTCTTTAGGTCAGGTCTTTTGACAAATTTCGGTATTATAAAACCTATTATATGACACTAAGGCATTATAAGATATATTTGGTATTATAATAAATAAATTCATCTGTTACTTCATATAACTAACTAAACATAAAAAATTAGACGAATCGCAGTTTTTGTCCCATTCTTAAATATGGACGATAGGTAAATGAATAAAAAAATTAATTATTTTTAATCTTATTATTACTGTGTAAAGTTCATTGCTTAACAGTTTGATGAACAGTTTTCGTTAACTAGCAATGCCTTTGCACAAATATTTTTTTAAGTAAAAAGTGATTTTTGAAAAATATTTAACGCATAGCAGAAAAATATAACCAGTGCTTGAGTGCATAAAACCACTGAATCTGGTAGTCTGATACAAGGTCAAAGACCAACTAACTAACTATATGACTAACTAACTAATTATATGTTTGTTTCCGTGGTTTCTCCAGTGCATCAAGTTAAAATGTCATTAATGCATCAAGTCAATGGTTCCATAATGGAAGACCCTGAAGCTAATAGCTCTTGCTGGCTTTGGTAAAATAAATTTAAAAAAAGAAGAAAACAAACTTTTGTCACGCTTGAGAGTTGCAATGAAACGTGATTGTTGAAAATGAGGGCAGTTCTATAATTCAATACTTATCTGTCTAAATTTTCATTTTCACAATAAGTACATCATGTACTCGTACATACATAGTTATAAATACTCACTCAAAATAATAGTTATTCAATAATTAAAATCAGATCTTCTATGACTGCTATATCTTAACAACTCACTATTTTATCTGTTATGTTGCTTTCGAAGTGAGTCATGTTGTTCATGAAATGCGAACTGAAAAGGCATTATAGTTGAAAATTGTTATGCTTTATAAGACTCGAAATAAAACTATGCAATAGCCAGTCAATCACTAGCAAGGTACCAACAGTCAATAAAATTTTAAACTTACTATTCTATATTGAACTGAGTAATTGAGGATTCGTCGCAGTTGCCCTTTTAAACAATTCTACCATGTCAGTATATTCACCATTTTTTTACTAAGAATAAAATTCTTAAAATTGCTTGAATACTAAATTACTCATAGTAACAACTTTATTATTTGCTGAAATGAAGCAATGATTTCATTCAGGCTAGTAAATGTAAGTCGATAGTCATTTAATACGACATAGGGTTTTTTTTTTTTTTACTTTAGATGTTGTGTCAATATTATCTTCGTAATTATGCATAATTCATAAGACCTTTATTTGGATAACTCAGCTTATTGCCTCAAACTAAAATATAAATCCCGTTACTTGAAAAAAGAAACTGCTTCAACATGGATAAAGTAGTAAAGTAGTTCAGAATTCCTTATCGCAAAATGAGGAATTCATAAGTCATTTATAATAGTTACAAGAATTATAATCGTTATAATAGTTATGAACTTAATTTACAATTATTTTTAAGTACTAACTATAGGTAGTAATTGTTATTTATTCGCTAGAGCAGAGATGCGACGGATGGCATTTTGGTTAGCAAATGGTGATGGATTCCGATGGCTTTAGGTTTGAATTCTGGTTAAGGTAGAGATGCTTTTGTTTGTACTGCCTCTGTGATAAGAGAAAAATAAGTCTGTCGCGTCCCATGCTTTCTCGCGATGTTGCCGGTAAGGAAAAATACGAACTTCTCAGTTTCATAATGGTGTGTTTCGTGAATTGTTACTCAGCAGTATATGACATTATCGATATAATTTTACTTTTCTTTCTCTGTATTGCTTTACATCAATAACGTATTCAGTTTATATTGCGTTATATACTGTTATCAGCATCTATATGTTATTGTACTATTTGTTACACTTGTGTATGTTCCGTAATGTATAAATTACTGTACACACCATTTCTAATTTTAGCGTTGACTTAGTTCAATGAACTTAACTGTCTTTTGCACCTTCTAATCCCATCCATAATTTTCTACACTTTAGATGCTAAAATTCGGTGCATGCAGCCATTGGTGTCAGTTATTTTCTTTTGTACAGTTGTTTTTCATTTAACCCATTAGCCGCTGGTGTTGCGTTGACGCAACGGTCAAATAAATGCGTATATAAATATAACTACCTAAGATATTTTATACCAGCAGATGATTTTGTGTAGGGAATATTATGAAGATTATTTCTGTAAAAAATATTTGCCTTCAATAATCATTTTGTTTATAATAATGAATCTCATAATTTATGCAAAATTTAAGTAAAATTTTCGACCGGATATTTTTGCTGAAAATATTTAACGAAAGAATCGCCGTCCCTATGAGTGATCTATTTTTAGTCAAGGTCACCGTTTATCAGAACATTAAATCAGTCAGATGTTTATATTTGTGTTGCGAAGAAAGGGAAAACAGGTGTTGCTTTGACGCAACGTCAGCGGGAAACGGGTAGTCAATCTCCTTTTTCACTCATTCCTTTCGATGTTCTGGTTCATGTTCTGGTTGTTTAAAAATGCCTAGAACTAGGTATCTTACATTATAAGAAGCCCTTCAAAGATTTTTTGATGAAAAAACAGATGATGATAATGTTAATAATGACCAGAATGAAACTGATATTGTTGTTGTTCCCCCAGAAATTGCAGAGGCTACTGACGAAGAAGAAAAGAATGGCAATGTTTTAAATAATGATAATGATATTTTACCAAATGATACTGCTGGGGAAGTTGAAATTCACGTAAAAAGTAAGTTTCAGCCTTCTAAAAGCAGTTATAGTCATACTAAAAAGTTTAAAAAGCAGAAGACTGAAATCTTGAAGTGGATAAAAAAAGGAACCGTGTTAGTTATGTCTTCAGGAAAGACATGAAGAAAGAGATAGAAGAGAAATTATAAAAGACAAGGTGAACACAAGGTAAACACACATTTTCGATTTTCTGTTTTGGTTTAGACATTTAGTCTCTTCTCGTTGAACAGAGAAATATTATACGCTCAGCGGGGGAAAAAAAAAAAATGCGCCCGGAAGTTTTATTGCATCTGAAGCCTATATCAAGAAAATTTTTGGAATATTATTGCTTACAGGATACCATTTTTTACCTCAAGAAAAAATGTATTGGTCTTTTGATAAGGACATTTCTGTTCCTGTTGTATGAGAATTGATATCAAGTTTGCAGTACAGGAATATTAAGCAGAATTTGCATTTGACAATACTGATAAATTATATGAGGTGAGACCGTATATAAACTTACTAAATATCACCACTTTTTACTACTGGAAATATAAAGTCTGTTTTAGATTTCAGACGCGAGAATGCATTATTTCTTTTGTAAACTCCTATTGAGAGTAGAATTAGCCAGAAATATATCAGCAACAGGAAGACCTAGTAAATTCAGCATTCAAAAACCATTGCATGGAGATGATGAGACAATTTTTCGTAAAGTCCGTTGACAACAAAAGACTTTGTTGTAAAGAGTGTACCATAGCCAGACTGTTTATAGATGCAAAGTATGTAATGTAGCTTTACATCATGATTGTAATCAAGTATTCATGTTTGAATCTTTCAAATGAAATAATCTGCATTTGTAAAAGAAATACAATGTATATTATAATATTAAATTAATTACAAGTGAAGTGCCTGCGCTCCACTCAAAAGAAACATCACACGAATACAATCCTACTCACTAAACATCCGTAGTCTTATTCCGCTGACGTTGCGCGAACGCAACACTCGCGTTTTCCACAGGTAAGAGCATTTTTTTTTTATTTTCAATGTAAATTTATGTTATAAATGCTTAATTTAATATTTGTTATTATTTTCATGAGAAAAGAAATATTCCTTGTAGTTTTGGCGGTTAATGTGTTAAGCAATTTATTACCTTATAAGGTATTTCTCCCGCTTTCCTGGCGCGTCTTCGTGGTGTAGTGGTTCTGCGTGCTGGGCCCGCACTCCAGAGGTTCGTGGCTCGATTCCTGGCGGAGGCGGATGCTAATTTTTATCTTCTCTGCTACCAAAATATCCTAATGTCTCTACAATCTGATGCCAGTATTTTAGTCCCCTTTAGCAGTTATATATAAGTTTTACACTACTTCATATTTTAAGCCTCAGACACTTGATTATTTTAAATTCGATATACTCACTATGACGTTTATATGTGTCTATTGCCGTAAACATATTGTAGGTCATCCTGTATTTTTAGAACAAGCTGTAAATGCTTAAAAATGAAGGGAGTTCATTGTTTATTCTGTTTATTTTCTAATAGGTGTTCTATCTGAAGGTGTAAAGGCAGCGATCAAAAATGTGGATTTTAGGCAAGTAAACTTTAGCCTTTTTACCTAAGTAAAACATTCAGTATGTTCCAATCCTCTCGAAAAGATATATTCATTAGAAAAAATATGTCAGTATCTACATAGTATTTCAGTAGATGCTTTTTTATAAAATGAAACAGAATGAACGTTTCGTTTTAAATTTAAACGTTTGCTCGTAATGTTTTCATTAACTTAAAAAACACAAACAAAAAAAAAAAAAAAAGGAAATAAACTCTATTACAACATTGCCACTGACTGACTGCGCACCAAACAAATGATGGGAAAAATAAAGTCAGGTCAAGAATTAAAGATCTATGCATCCATTTATTCCCATTTGCTTGCTAATGTATTACAAAAGTATATTTAATACCGCGTATGAGTTGAATATAAAGAATGTATTGATAGATACTGTCGATGACTCGATTACAACACATGAACCCTCTAAAGTCATAAACTTTGGCCATTACAATAACCCTAATGTCTATAGCTTAAAAATATAACTATGCTTAGCATATTGGCCATATATTTTCCTCAATTGTTGTAAAAAGATCTGCAGGATGCATTGACAGTCTCGATATTTCTGGAAACTCTTGGAATCTCTTATTTCTATCAAAAAGATTTGATTGAATAGTTAGTTTTCCCTATTTTATTCTTTTCATTGTTTTAATTTGAGAAATACACCACTTGGAAACGAACCTGTTTAAGCAAAAGTTAACAGACACCATGTCTTTTTAGGCATCTTAAAAATAATAGAAACAACTGTTAACTTCACACACCAGAGACAGAACGCAAAAGGGGCATAATTTTAAAAAGCCAGAATTTTTAATGCTGTTAGAAAACATTCGTGTTTTTTCATATTTAAATAATTAAAAATCAAAATTATCTCTCCCAGCTATCACATTTTAGATGTTCATTCGCTGCATGTGGTTAATAGGAACTGAATTGGGCAACCTATCTCTAGACTGTTTCATTATCTTATGCTCTGCTACATTTAAACATTACGGCATGAGCTTCGGTGCACTTAAAGCTATATCTTACGTTGTGGTGCAAATTTAAGGCACTCATTAGCAACACGTTTTATTGCTATCTGTGGTAATCCCATTTGTTTATCTTGAATATCTTTGTATTTCAGTTTCTTGGATTACGGTTTCGTCGAAGAAAATAAAAGAGCGATATATGAAATGAATGTAAATTTCAGTCACTTTCTTTTAAAATGTGAATGCTATAGCAAATAAATTTATAGTCTGTGATCTCCACAATTAAAAGACATTTTATTCAAAAGAGATTTGAAAAAGTGCTGAATGTAACAAAGAAGAAATTTATAGACATTAATTTGCTTTGGTGGCATAAACTAGTTTCAAACACCTAACAGAGTTAAAGGGGATTATCGTTGTGTTTGAAATACAAAGTCTTGGAAAGGTTTATATACGACGTTTTTAATTAAAAACAAATTAGAATACAAATGCACTTCATGTGCTCACAGGATCGGTCACCACTTGTGGTGATACAACTTAGAGTAACTGGCAGATATAAATTTAATATATATACTGGTAGTCAAAGTCTTCACAATTAACTTTAAATCGAAGTTGGCTCATAGCACCTCACTGGCTTAACAATTAAAATGACGGCAACTGTAACACAAAGTCGAACAATTACAATCTTATCAGAACTGGTAAAACTAAATGTTGTCTCAAGAGGCAGAAACCCATTCTTTCCTACAGTCTCCAAACCTCAGCTTAAATAAATACTTTTTAACTCATTTACATTTCAGGTGAGGAAACGGAAAGGCTGAAATTATAAGTAACTGTCAACACAAAATAACAGTAACTTTACAAATTCATATTTTTATTTAATACTTTTGAACATGAAAAGTGTATTCTCAGTAATTTGTGCTTTTCTTATCATGAAAAATTAAATTTTAAATTAGTATTCTTTTATAAAGATATTTTGTAGACAATGAGATCGAACTAATTCTCGTTTCAAGTATGATATGCTTTAAGAAAATGTAACAGGTTTCGTTTCATGGATGTAAGCGCTATAGAACCAATAATATTTTCAAAACATTGGTTCCATAAATATTTGTTACTTTTTTCAGTAACAGCTTATTAAAATGCTGAATTAAAAACAACGTACGTAAAATTATTTTAAGCATACTGTCTTGTGTTTTGTGACATTTGTATAATGATCACTCAAGAAATGTGAAACTGAAAGTGGCTCTGAAGATTAAGAATTCAATCTTTATGGAAAAACCTCTTCACAGTATGGTTCCTTTCACTAAGAAAAATGCAATTTTCTATTCAACTAAGCAATCAACATGAAAGGTTTGGGTCTTCGTAAAAGGAAAAACATTCTCTTTCAGTAACTTGCTCATAAAATATTAATAAGGTATGCAAGCGTGGATGTGGTTTGCTGTGAGAGTAAACAGTATTGAGAATTAATATTATTAGCGCTAGAATAAATATTATTTTGAACACTTTTAAAAACTCATCTTATTACTTAACAATTACCGGTTCAACGAATGAATTCAAACAAAAAGTTTTTTTTTTTTTTTTTTTTTTTTTTTTTTTTTTAATATTTACAAGCATAAATTTGCAAAAAATATTTTACATGTAAACTCATCCTACTCTTCCTGGCAAAAAACGTAAAATGTCTGATAAGTAAAGTAATTTTCTCCTTTTTGGATTCTGAAGATAGGAAAGTTAACAGCTCCTTAGTTAAAAATGTTTTTAGATAGTTTTTAGTTTTTACTTTTATATTTTTTCTATTAATAGCCCTTTGTTTATCTGTAATCCAATGCATAGTCTACGTGGGGATGTTTTCACATATAATTTTAACAAAATACTCTTAATTTGGTATCTGGCTCTGAATTTCAAAATTCAGCTTAGAAGAAGCTCATTTAAGCGTTTGTATGCCTAGCTATGCATTAATTTATTGGCCTATGATAATGAGAATAATTGAGATTATAACACTAAAATTGTTTTCAACCTTTTCAGAAATGATGTATGCTAAAGTGTATAAAGATGTTAAATTTATATTTATAATTATATTAAGAAACTACTTTAAAACACAGGGTCCTAAGATTATGTGATACTCGATACCATTATATATCAGCGTAATTAACGTATTCTTAAAGGCGGTTGATTAAAGTGACGTAATCTGAACAAAGAAAGGAAGTTCCCTCAACGTTTAGAGTCTATACTTTTATTTTATGGTGAAAATTTTAGATAATTATCAAACCATTAATTACTCAACGAAATTATATTAATTAAAAGTTCTGGCATTGAATTTGCATATCTATTGTGTTGAATATTTTGAACCTTATTTTCATACGAGCTTAATCCTATACATTTAATTTGGATGTGAAAAATATCACTTCAGTCTGTAAAAAATAAGCATATGTTACGTGCAAATGTTGTATTCAGTTAAAAAATTCAGTAATTACAGTAGTTAACTGCCTGTAAATTTTATGAAATCTTTAGGTACATTTTATTAGAAACGTGTACTTTTTAATCTCCAAAATAACTAAATAAACATATCCAAAATAAAAAATAATACTCATATGATTTCACTGATATTTATGATATAATACTCATATGATGATAATTCAAAATAAAAAATAATACTCATATGATTTGGGCTTAAGATTTTTTAATATTTCAGGAGAATTATGCAAGTAAAACTGAATAAATAGTAAATTAGTAATAGTATGCAATATTTGAATTTTAGTAATCTATTCGCTCCTAATTATTCTTGTTAATATTCTGCGAGAATCTTTGAAATTATATCATTAGTATTTACTTATTCAAATCCGATTTTACTTATATTTTAATATAAATAAAACAAATAAGAAAAGTAAAAATACTCAAATAATCAGACTTAGCGGTTACGCTAATGCGATTTTAAATATTTACTTTGCTTTGTCTCATTTACAGTTTTATTTCACTTACACTCTTTTCTCCATTTTCTTGTTTTTCCAAACCATAAAATTTTTAAATTTTTAAAAGTTTTCTAGCAGTTTAAAATGTGCTTAATACTTTGGCGGTTACGAGATTAATCAATTCTTTTTTCCCAAATGTGTGCTATATCTTTTAGTCTTAAATTTGCAACTCGAGCTGTGTTCGTTTGTGCCCACTTCGATGCATAACTGAAATGCGAGCTGAGCTCATTCATGACCATCAAAAAGTTAAGTTATAATTTTACTTCTCATTACTTTCTGTTCATTACTTACGCAAAACAAGGTAACCTGGGCTGTTATTCATTATATAAAAAAGTCGCGAACTTGTAAACTAGTAATTATATATTCTCCTTTATACATACCGAAGTAAAAGTATTGCTAAAAATGCTTAGAAAGAATAGCATGAACGAAATATTTAAATTTAGTCATTATTTAGTATAATAAATTATTATTTAAAATATTAAATGTAAACATTACAGGATTCAAATATGTAATTTTGCAGCTAAGATATCATTAATTTTAAATCTTATAAAACTTTCTAATTCTATAGGAATGTTTTATGTTTTTAACCCAATATCTTACAATACTATTTTTGATCTTTACTATTTACGTCGACTCGCATCACGATGCAAATTAGCTAACGTATATATGTGATCACTGTTCTTGAAGTTAGGGAGAGAGTCGGCAACCGCTGAGCTCCGTCTAGTTTTCGTCCAACAATTAGAATTACCTAAATAGACTTTAACGTTTTGTTACCCGTGTTTGCTATGGTGTTTAAAAGGCTTGTGCGAAAGTGTGTTATAGGATTTTCCGTGATAATTATATACTCAGCTATTTAAAAGGCCGTATTACGCAACCAAAACATTTCAGCTATATATCCATTTATAGTTCAAATTTTCTGTTCTGTCATCTAACATCCTTTAGCTCGATGCTGATTTAGTGAATATTTACAATCTGCAACTGTTTGGGGAAAGAAGGAAAAAAAATTGGGAGTCTTTCTTGCGGCGGTAAAGCTGGTAGATAAGTTGTTTGAAACAGTTCTTTGCTTGAAAAAGACGAATGTGTGCCAGTGTTTTAGTTAATTTTTAAGTTTACTTTTATATTAAGCTTTTTGAGTTTATGTGCTTTTTATTTATATTATTTCC